ACAGACACACAGGCACACACACACACACACACACACGCGCACGCACGCACGCACGCACGCACGCACGCGCGCGGCATGTAGATCGGGCCTACAATGTTTTACGTAAAACGATCTATAACCTAGACTCCAATCTACTGACGTAAGTCCATAACCTACACGCAAAGCAGCAAAGCACGCAAAGGTATAACATAATCCATGCTGTAAACATTCAACCTGCATGCCAAGCACACAAACTACAGACCAAACTAGCGCACACACAAGATCATAAAACGTGCACACCGAATACAAAATCTACACGCCAAGCATACAAGCTATAGACCGAGCGCATAGCGAGGAGTACACACCAAAAACACAATCTACACACCGAGCATCTAAGCTACAGACCAAGAGCAGCAGCAGAGTTTATCGACTAAGCTGAGCACGTCAATGGCAGAGCACGTCTACAGACCGAGAGCGCGTAGAGTGTCGATGGGCATCACCCACGGGTACTGCGGCGGACACTCGTTGCAGGTCATGAAGAAGCGGTCGCCCTGGTGGTCGACGTCGTTCGGCTGATAGGTGATGTTGTAGTATCCGCAGAGGGTCGGGTGCTCGCACATCGGCGTCCGGTCTCTGTAGTCGCAGTTGAAGAAGCCGTCCATGTCGTTGAGCGGCGTCGGGTCGCGCACCCACTGCAGCGCCTGCGCGAACGTCACCACGTAGACGTCGTCCATGCGCTCGACGCCCTCGAGGAAATCCTGCAGCGCTTCCAGGTTGTGCATGCCGTCGTCGAGGAACCAGCGCGCGCGCAGATTGATCGCGAACGGCGCCTTGTTCGTCTGGTAGTGGCGCGCGAAGTTGGAGAAGAGCAGCTCCATCGCCTCCTGCTTCGTCTCCGGGAAGTAGCAGCTGTCGACGTTCTCGCACAGTGTGTTGTTCGTGTCGATCCAGTCAACTAGCGGGATCTCCCAGACGCCTGGCAGCGACTGCAGCGGGCACGGCTCCACGGCGCAGCCGGCGGTCGAGCGGTAGTCGAACGTGTACGGCCAGATCGGGTAGTCGTTCCTGTCGGTGGCGTACGACGAATCATAGAGGAAGTTGTTGCGCTGCGCCATGATGATCGTGTCGTCGCCAGCCGTCTGCAGGTAGGGGGCGCGCATGCCGACAATGTCCTCCGCCTTCACGTTGCCGAGCTGGTTGAGCAGCAGACGCATTGTGACGAACTCCTCGTGCCACACGCGGCGTTCGCTGTCACGCCAGTACTCGGCCGGCAGCTGCTTACTGCAAACGAACGTGTACACATGGCCGTGAATATTCACGGTGATTGTTTGAGACTCGTATTAAACTCGTATGAATTCGATCAACACAATAATCTAATTGACACAATCAACACGTTGTGTGTAGCAACTTTCCTTTTTGGAGGAAGTGCCGTGAAGGCGCGTGCGCATGGAATACAAAATACGTAACATAATGCGTTTGAAGGCAATAACCCTTCTGTGAGCTTTAGACAAATTTAAAGTTGACAGTAATGTAGGCAAAGAAAGACGTAGACAAGAACAAATTGAAATTTGTCACGTAAGGCAAACGCAGCCAAAGAGTATAGCAGAACTATACTCACTAGAAATGTCTATAACTCACAGTATAGACACTCTATATAGGCATAGCACAGCTAATGTAATGCCTAATGTTTTCCTTTAGCCTATGATTGTTGCGTCTATCATGTCTGCCGGAGGAGCATAATTAACAGACAGCATCGATTAATTATGCTACTCCTGGCGCTTGTTGCTAGAAGCATCCTTAATGCATATGACTATCGTGCGTCTAAAATGAGATGGTTTTTGCACAACAATTCACGTGCAAGAGTTGTGTGACACTTTAGACATCCTATATATCACAACTATTTACGATAAAATAACAACGGACCCCTTGATGTCTCATGCATGCATCAAGAGACGACGCGTATAGCTACCTGACGGAGTGAGTAGCTATTTCGTTTCCTTCGGCGTATAGAGCATTCACGGCAGCGTAGTCCGTGAACTGATGGCTAACGAAGAAGGTTCCCGTCATCGGGCAGCCATCGGCGTTCCTGCGCGGCTCCCTGCGTCTAGCTGACGACAGCTTCTTGAAAATCTGAATGAGAAACATTGGAGATGGTGAGATGGCCGGTATATTATGTGCGTTTTAGTTCAACAAGCAGCTAGGAAACAAGTAAAAGTAATTAAGTAATTAGAATTAAGATACCATACATTAACGACATATATTTCTTCTTTTATGAAATCGATATATTTGTTGATAATATATACAGTGGTGTAGGTGGTTATCTGTCGACACATGATTAGGCAATCCCGCGAAATGCACTAACGACAAACGTTAATCAAAGTTCAATATAATATGCGGATCGAACGAGAATATGAGCATGTACAATAATGATAATGCGATTAGTTTATATTTCTAAAGGACGAACCTCAGGTGGGATTTCGCTAAATTATGACGTCATGCGCTAATTTATAACATCTGATAGTTATATACGCTGAAATAGAAGTATTTGCACAATAATCAAAGCTGCGCTGATATGCGCGCGAAATGAAACCTTCATCGCAACTGGCGCATGGCCACATTATGCGTTTATAACGATAATAAAAATTCGGTACAGTTTCGTCTATTGTTGAGTAGCGGGTGGGTGGATGAACATGCACAGAGAGGATTAGCCCAACCGTGACAGGCGCGCATAAAACGTTCTCGTTTCTGGGTCACTGTTTCACTGAGGCAGACACAGAACATGTTTATCTGGCCTCGCATCTACACCAATGACCCGCCAGCTTATCCCAACTGACACCCAGTGCTTGGCCTATGACTGTAACAATAACGCATGACCGCTGATTCGAACAATAGGTGCTTTCTGCAATATCTGGCTATATTTCAATCGGGAACGAAAGTGTTGATGATTAATATCGGATTTACAGGCACGAAACACAAACGCGGCGCGAATATAATAGGACAACAATAGTAGTTCATGATATTTATGTTGGCCATGTACTCATACTAATGTCTATGAGTACTATACGATAACAATTACTGGTGACAAAGGTAAATTCGATTATTGATCGCATACGCTGTTACGTCTGCTAGTCTACTAGTGCTATGTACAAGATACATCGTGAACTGTGAGAAATAATGCGAAACGTGAGATATATACGATACATGGATGGTTTGATAACAACGAAACGCGGATGAGTTAAAGACGTGGGACGGAATATAACCCAGTAGCTCTCACTCGCTCACTCTCTCTCTCTCTCTCTCGCTCTCTCGCTCTCTCGCTCTCTTGCTCTCTCGCTCTCTCGCTCTCTCGCTCTCTATTTTTCTCTTGCTCTGTCTCTCTCTCTCTGTCACTCTCATTCTATATGTGTTTATCTCTCTCTCTCTATCTCCCTCACTCCTTTCCCTCTACACTAAGTCGCTCCATAGCTTTCCGAAAAACAATGAGGGCCACATCGATGTTAATTGCTATCGAAATACAGCGTCAGCGTAAATGGAATCACGATTAGTCGACGAGTTACCAGCTGCGCTGTAGTGCACGTTAAATGACGAGCTGCACACGGAAGCACGCGGGCCGACGAGCAAGATCGCTCAATTATTGAGTAAGGTTACCTGCGACACGCGCGTGTGTATCTAGCTACCTGGTCACGCAGATGCGCGACAATGGTCACACGCTAGTTACATATATACTACAGCTACGTCTAGCCGGCTAACGATGCGGTATGCGGAAATCATTTCGGAAGCAACGCTTCTCGACGCGCACACGACCATGTTATCGGGGCAAGCCACGAAGCCCCCCCTCACTCACACCACACACACACACACCCACACTCACACACACACACACACACACACACACACACACACACACACACACACACACACACCGCGCGCGCGCGCACGACGACGACACGACACGACGACCGACGCCGACGACCGACCGACCGGCCGGCCGGACCTACTACGTAACGGTACCGGGACCCGTAACCTAAACGTTTACACCCGAAAGCAGAAAGCTTAAACTTTTTCAATTTCTGCTGAGGGATTACGGTAATTGACGATGCTTTTCTTCATTCAGATCTTTCAAGAAAGCTCGTCGTCAGCTAGACGCAGGGAGCCGCGCAGGAACGCCGATGGCCGTCGTCCAGAGTGACGGGAACCTTCTTGTTAGCCGATCAGTTCACGGACTACGCTGCCGTGAATGGCCTCTATACGCCGAAGCGAAGACGAAATAGCTACTCACTCCGTCAGGATAGCTATACGCGTTCGGGGGTCCTCTTGATGCATGCATGTAGACATTCAAGGGGTCCCGATTGTTATTTTAATCGTAAATAGTGTGTGATACTATAAGGACTGGTCTAAAGTGTCAACACCACTCTTGCACGGTTGAAATTGTTGGTGCAAACAGACCATCGCTCATCTTAGACGCCACGATCAGTCTATATGCTATTAGAGCGATCGCTTCTAGCAAACAAGCGCCAGGAGAGCATAACTTAATCGATAGCTGTCTGCTAATCCTATGCTCCTCCCGGCAGACATGATAGACGCAAAAACAATCATAGGCTAAAGGAAAACATTTAGGCATTACATTAGCTGTTGCTATGCCTATATAGCAGTGTCTTATACCTGGTGAAGTTATAGACATTCTCTAGCTGAGTACTAGTTCTGCATATCACTCTTCTGGCTTGCGTTTGCCTTAACGCCCTGACAAATTCTCAATTGTTCTTGTCACGTCTTTCTTTGCCCTACATTTACTGTCAACTTTAAATTGTCTAAAGCTCACAGAAGGTTATTCGCCTTCAAACGCGATTGATGTTACGCTATTTTGTCATTCCATCGCTGCACGCCGCCTTTCACGGCACTTTCCCAAAAAGGAAATTCGCTACACACAACGTGCTTGATTGTGTCATTAGATTATTGCCTGTTGACGAATTCGAATACGAGTTTAATACGAGTCTCAAACATCACCCGTGAAGTATTCACGGCCATGTGTACACCGTTCGTTGCCAAGTAGACAAGCTGCGGCCGAGTAACTGGCCCGTGGACAGCGAAACGCCGCGCTTATGGTTGGCACGAGGAGTCGTCACTATGGCGTCTGCTGCCTCAACCAGCTCGGGCAACAGTGAAGGCGGAGGACCATCGTCATCGGCATGGCGCGCCCGCCTTAACCTGGCAGACCGGCTGGCGACGACACGCACTCATCATGGCGCAGGCGCAACAAACTGCCTCTATGATCTCGTTCGTTACCGCCACCGACAGCGGAACGACTACCGATCTGGCCGTACACGTTCGACTACCGCCTCGCAACGACGGCGGGCTGCGCCGCTTCGGAGCCGTGCCCGCTGCGAGTCGCTGCCCAGAGCGTGCTGCGAGATCCGCTACGTTAGACATGGATCGACACGAACAAGCACACTGTGCGAGAACGCGCGACAGCGCCTACTTTCCCGGAGACGAAGCCAGCGAGGCGATGGAGCTGCTCTTCCTCCAACACTTAAACGCGCGCCACTACCCATACGAACAAAGGCGCCGTTGCGATCAATCTTGGCGCGCGCGCTGGCTTCCTCGACGACGGCATGCACACACCGTGGAAACGCGCTGCAGGATTTCCTCGAGGGCGTCGAGCGCAGGACGACGTCTACGCTTGGCTGATCGTCTCGCGCAGCGCCCTGCAGTGCGCCGTGGCGCGACCCGCCGATCGCCGCCTCAACGACAGTGGACCGGCTTCCTTCAACCGCACTACAGAGACCGGACGCCGGATTGTGCGAGGCACACCGACCCTCTCGCGGCTACTACAACGCATCACCATATCAGCGAACGAATCCTCGCGTCGACCACCAGGGCGACCGTTCTTTTCGATTGACTTGCACACGAAGTGGTCCGCCGCGCCAGTACCGGTGGGCGTGATGCCATCGACACTCTACGCGCTCATCGGTCTGTAGGACTGCCCTCTGCATTGACGTGCTCCAGCGGCCTGCTATTGGTCGTAGCCTTAGATGCTCGGGGCGGGTGTGTAGATTGCGTTTTTGCGTGTGTACTCCTCGCTATGCCGCTCGGTCTATAGATTGCTGCATGCTTCGGCCGTTAGATTTTGTATGTCGGTGTGCACGTCTTTATGCAATCTTGTGTCGTGCGCTATAGTTTGTCCTGTAGGTTCTGTGTGCTTTGGCATCGCAGGTCTTGCAATGTTTACAGCATGAATAATGATATGTACTTTTGCGTGCTTTGTCTGCTTTGTGTGTCTGGTGTGTGTGTGTTGTGTGGTGTGCTGTGTGTGTGTGTGTGGCTGTGTGTTGTGCTGTGTGTGTGCGTGTGGAGTGCGTGCGTGTGTGATCTACCTCTGTGTGTGGCCTGTGACTGCCTGCTGTGTGTCGGTGCGGTGTGTGTGTGTGGTGTGTGCTGTGTGTTGTGTGGTGTGCTGTGTGTGGGCTGTGATGGTGGTGTGAGTGAGGGGGATGCTCGTGTGCTTGCCCCGATAACATGTGTCAGTCGTGGCCGCGAAACCGTCGAGACAGGCTGTTGCTTCCCGAAAGATGTTCCGCATACCGATCGTTAGCCGCACTAGACCTAGCTGTTAGTATTATCGTAACTAGCGTGGTGGACCATTGTCGCGCATCTGGTGACCAGCGTAGCTAGGTACACGCGCGTGCTTCGCAGGTAATTCTATACTCAATAATTGGGCGATCTTGCTCGTCGGCCCCCGCGTGCTTCCGTGTGCCAGCCTCGTCACTTTAAACGCTGCACTACAGCGCAGCTGTGACATTCTGACTAATCGTGATTCCATTTACCGCTGACGCTGTATTTCGATAGCAATTAACATTGCGATGTGGCCCTCATTGTTTTTCGGAAAGCTACTGGAGCGACTTTAGTGATAGAGGGAGCGAGCTGATGGGGAGATAGATGAGAGAGAGGATAAACACATATAGAATGAGAGTAGACCAGGAGAGAGAGAGACCAGAGCACGAGAACAAATAGAGAGAGAGAGAGCGCAGAGAGCGAGAGAGCGAGAGAGCGAGAGAGGCGAGGAGAGCGAGATTAGCGAGAGAGACTGAGACGTGACGCGGCAATGAGAGCCTACTGGGTTATATTCCGTCCCACGCTTTAACTCATCCGCGTTTCGGTTGTTACAAACCATCCAGGTGTATCGCTATATATCTCACGTTTCGCATTATTATCTCACAGCTTCACGATGATATCTTGTAACCATTAGCTCTAGAGAAGTAACATCACGTAACAGCCGTATGCGCATCAAAATCGAATTTACCTTTGTCACCAGTAATTGTTATCGTATAGTACTCATACTTAGTATGAGTATACCATTGGCCAAACATATTTATCCATGAACTACTATTTGTTGTCCTATTATATTCGCGCCGCGTTTGTGTTTGCGTGCCGGTAAATCCGGATATGTTTTGT